TCTTTTTTTTTTTTTTTTTTTTTTTTTCGGTAAGAGAAGAAGATTTGGAAATCGTTTGAATTACCGAATATGGAGGAATGTAAGTAAAAATGCATGTATCGTTGCAAGATATAATATTGGTCGATTTAAATAATAATTGTATTTAATATTATAATAAATTATATATATAATATATAATATTAATATAATATAATATAATATATAATAATATATAATATTATAAAATTATATATATAATTATATAATATATATTAAATATTATAATAATATTTGAATATTTTATTGAGTTATGTGAAAATTATGCTTTTTTGTAATCGTAAAGAATCGTATAAAAATTGGAAAAAGTTAAGTTAATCGATTTAATTTATATTATAAATTGAAATAATTTTATTTCTCTATACGATTACTTTTGACTTGGTTTTATATACAAAAGTTGTGGTTCGAGTTGAAAAACACGCAATGTATACAAATCCTATTCCTGGAATATATCGAATACAAAAACATAAATGTGAATAAATTGCGTATGTTTATATGATAAGAATAAGAAATTCGAAGAACGACCGAAGCCGTATCGAAATATAAACAAAGTCGAAACGAGGAGAGGTAAAAGTACGACGAAATAAATTTAGTCGACGCGTGGCCGTCGAACGATACAAACGTGTATATCGATTTCTCTCCTTTCTAATAAATTTATTTTCGTCCAATATAATTAAATTTTTGCAATCTTGCAATAAATAAACAAGTAAGTTGAACTTAAATTATCCCTTTCTAATATTCTCTTTTTCTTTTCCTTCTCTTTTCCTTTTTTATTTTTAAAAGTTAACACAAATGTCGCATTATTCGATAATTTAAATTCTAACTTTTTCCCCGACTAAAATAATTTAAAATATTTTAAATTGGAATTTTTATAAATTTTTAATTAAACACAAACGAAACGTGATTCCATCCCGCGCACCTTTTTCGTGAAATTTTATAACAGAACGATTTGTAAAAATTTCTCGAATAACAGAAGATATTTGATAAAATAACACACGGATTGCGTCCAATCTTGAAACTAAAACACAACCTCGATTCGAAAGAGAATTATTTTGAAAATTAACACGCCATTTATAAGAAATCGATCGACCGATAAACAAATTAATCGTCATATCGTGTTTTTTTCGTTTTGCTTACAGGACCTGCGTTTTGGGGACTGATAAACCCCCAATGGTCTTTGTGCAGCAAAGGAAGGAGACAGAGCCCTATCAACATCGAGCCTGACAAGCTTCTCTTCGACCGCCACTTGAGACCCGTGTTGGTCGACAAACACAAGGTAATTTATCCACCCTGTTCCTTTTCCTTTTTTCTCCCTCTCTCCTCTTTTTTTTCTTTTTCTTTTAACTCTCGTTGCGGTACTTTAACTACTGAAACGATCCAGAACCGCATTCAGAAGTAAAGAAGGATTCGACTTGAAATGACTCGAAAGTTTTGATTCTCGCGGCTTTGTTTCAACAAAGATCCTTTAAAATACCTTAGTAGTTTGTTCGCTACTAGCGCTTTTAAATTTATTTTAACGTAATTTCCTTTATTCTTTCAATATTTTTAATATTTGAAGGAAAAATTTCGAACGAAATAAAGACGAATCGAATAAGAGACGACGGGTAGATAGGTAATAAATAAATGTACTTATTTTTTTACCGTGTGTTTTATTTTCTTAAATAATTATCCCGCGACATATATTTTTCGAAATGTCCAACATAACCAACCGTTTCAAACGAATCGAAGCGAGGAAAAATAAAATTTATATCGATTAAAAAGACGAGGGAAGATTTCAGGGGTGAAAGCGAAAAATAAAACGCGGACACTTTCGATTGGTTGGAATCGGTTGGTTCGAAGCGAAAATTAACATTTTTTCGGATGATTTATTTTACTTAGATATATCGGATATCGCGGTGAGACGGTTGCACGCGAGTAGGTTGCGCACTATTCCCAGAGCTGTCGCCGGCTAGTAATGGATTTTGAATTCACTCTGGACCGTTCTCCACTTTCTCTCTATCCATTTTTCACCGAGAGAAAAGAGAAATAGGGAAAGAGAATTCGTTAGTTCGATGATAAATCCATTAATTATATATCTCCCTGTTTAACATTCTTCTTATTCGTGTACCCCCACACATATCTCGTGAGAAGCGTGGATACAAATAATCTTTCTTCGCATAATTTTGGAACATCAAAGACTTAATATTTTTTTTAACGAGAGTTTCTTTGCAAAATTATATCGGTTCCAAAGTACAAGGATACGAATTTCTCTTAAATCGTATCTTATTGCACAATTTATCCAATCGCAATCCAAGTCTAGATTCATCGCTCGTTTCAATTTTCTTGATCGATAAAATAATCGCGTATATTACGAAGTTCACTGAGAAATATCGTTTTCGGTAAAATAAAATAATCACGATCGAACAAATAGTAGGGGTGAGCAAATAGTACAGCTCGATCACAGTTTGTAACACGTTTCTTCGAAAAAATAATTCTTCTAGATTAATCGCGATTAATTTCGAGATCGATCAAGTTACTTGAAATTTTCTATACCGCAATTTAAATCAATATTTATAGATTATCCTTCGATTAATCTTAACTCTTTCCTTGCACGAATAACGGGGGAGGGGAGGAAGGAGGAAAAGAAAAAATATACGAGTCTCTCGGTTTCACCGTCATTCGTTTCCCTCCCTCTCTTTCGTCGGTCTTGTTTTATCGAGCGTGTGCGGATCTCGCTCGTGGAAATTAACGCGGCGCCCGATTTACGCGGGCCTCCATTT